CGGGTCAGTGGGGAAGGCTGTCCGCTCGCTGGGCGCCGCTGCGAATTTGGTAAATGGGAGGTGACGCTGGTGACCGAGAGCCGGGGCCCGCTGCCAGGAGCCTGGGCGAGGGCCAGGTGAGAGCGGCGAGGAGAGGGACTTGACTTTACAGACCTGTGGACCTCTGTGCGTTGGTGGGGATGCCCGCTAACCCTGAACCCCAGATGATGTCACATGCGCACTCCCCCTTCTCCTTATTGAAACCAAAAAGGCCCTGTTTGACGCAGGGTTTCCAGAAACTTGTTTTCATGTACGCTAAACAGCACCCGTTTTTCTCGAGAACGTTACAGACCGTTATTACAGTCATTACCTGCCCTTGTTTACTGTCAGTACCGGCTAGGTGCTGAGGTAGGAACCCTCTGTTAGGGCTGTTTGCCCAGCCTAGCATAGTGCCTGGCACAGGAGATAGACATGCTGACTGGATCAATGATGCCTCAAAGATGGTACTTAGCCAAAGTAAGATATGAAAAATGCAGCGACACTTATATAGAAAATTACTTTGTGGTGCAGAATAGAATGGGACTAATTTTGTCTGGGCATAGCAGGAAAGGATCAAGGTGAGAGGCTGGTGGTGTCTGCAGAGGCGTGGAGATGAGAAAGTGCAGGGCACATGACCTGGAGTTGGGTCTCAGAGCATGCAGAGAACTATGCTCAACAGGTTGATGGGAGTTGGGGACGTGGGGACGTGCGAATGCCATGGCTAATTTTGCGCTCCCTCAGTGGAGGGCTGCTGAAGATTTAGAGCAGAGTAGTGATTAATTCTGTAAGGCTGGGCCAGATGGCTGGATGGGAAGGTGGTTAGGAGGCTGTGGCAGTGGTTTAGGCGAGAGGTCTGAATTCTCCTTGGGCGGCAGTGATCAGAAGTTGTCACTAAAGGGAGTGGAATTGAATTATGAAACCCAGACATGACGTAACTAGATAATGAATGCTGATTGGAGCAGGTGCCAAGTGCAGTTTAGATGTAGCAGAAAAGATGAATTTAAATTCAAGAAATGTTACATTCTTGCCACATGCCAGGTGTTTTCATAAATGGTATCTCATCATAAGTCCCCTGCAGGGTCAGAACAGTCACCCCCAATTTCTGGAGAAGAAAACTCAGGCACGGTAATTGAAGTGATGTGTTCAAGGTCACAGTCTAAATGGATGGCAGAGCTGGGATCAAAATCAAGTCTTTTTATGCAGGCAGGGAACATTTCGTGATTCATTAGAAAGAGGTCTTGGAGGTCATAGGGTTTCAGGAACTTCTGAGTGATAGGAGCAGAGAAGCATTTGGTTGGCCGTGCGGGAAGATTTTCAGTTAGATTAGAAATACTGCCTTCAGTGCTCAGCATTGCAGAGGAGCTATAAAGCTTCCCCCACCTCAGTGTGTCGGTGAGGAAACAGAATTCGATAGAGTTGTTTGCTAACTATAAAGTTGTTAAGTAACTGAAAAGGTAAAACGTATACCTGGGGGTGGCAACCGCAGGGAAGAGCTACCAACCTATGGCTGGAGGAACAAAGAGATGAAGTTGATTAAAATTTAAAAGCTTGGAGGAAAGGCTCTGTAGAGCTGAAATTCCAACCTTTAAGGAGGAGGCACTGCCTCAGCTGATGTAGGGGGTCTCTGAGCTTGGAGGAGAGTCCTGGGAGCCAGACCTCTAAAGAGAAGGTGCAGTGATAAGGCTGGCTCTGCAAGAGTTCGCAGAACTGTATACTGGATTCTGTGGCCGCTATAGGAAGGCATTCCTGCTGCCATGGTGAAGTGTCATAAGGTGATGCCAACGTGAATAGGAAGGAATAGTCCGTCTCCTTCCAGCCTTGCGCAGTTTAACAGGGCAAAGCAGAAATGTGGGTGGCAGAGTCCCAGCCCTGCATCACCAAGGGGAGTATGGAAGAATGGGTGGGGTTGAGGTGCAATAGCTGAATACTGGGCATACCCCAGATACCCAAGTCCTTGGTAATCGTTTCTTCTTCCTGCAGGCTGGCTTTGCTACAGCTGACCACTCCAGTCAGGAGAGAGAGACTGAGAAGGCTATGGATCGACTAGGCAAGTAGATGGCAGAGACGGTGGAAGCTGGGGAGACCAAGGACGTGAGGAGAGGGATAGTCCCTCTGTCTCATTTACCTTTTATTTTAGCCAGTCCTCTCTGCTGCTTGGTGGCCTCTGCCCAGGGTTGAACAGTACCCTCCTTTGGAAGCCTTGCTTGGAGCTTCCTTAAGGGAAGTCCTGGGACTTTCCTTACGTTCAAACCCATCCTTCTACCGAGAGAAACAGCTTGAAACAGTGAAAATAGTACAGCAGTCTCCCCTTATTCCTAGGGGATACATTCTAAGACACCCCCCCCCAGTGGATGCTGAAACTGCTTTTTTTCCCTCTATATATACTATTTCTGATACAGTTTAATTTATAAATTATGCATATGTGATTAATAACCATATTAATGTAGAACAATTATGCCAATATACTGAAAGTTATGTGAATGTGTTCTCTCTCAAAATATCTTTTTTTTTGAAATGGAGTCTTGCTCTGTCACCAGGCTGGAGTACAGTGGCACAATCTCAGCTCACTGCAACCTCTGCCTCCCAGGTTAAAGCAATTCTCCTGCCTCAGTCTCCCGAGTAGCTGGAACTACAGGCATGTGCCACCACACCCAGCTAATTTTTGTATTTTTAGTAGCTATGGGGTTTCACCATGTTGTCCAGGCTGGTCTAGAACTCCTGATCTCAAGTGATCCGCCCACCTAGGCCTCCCAAAGTGCTGGGATTACAGGCATGAGCCACTGTGCCCGGCCCCCTGCCTTTTTTTTTTTTTTTTTTTTTTTAGTTTCGCTCTTGTTGCCCAGGCTGGAGCACAGTGGCACAATCTTGGCTCACTACAGTCTCTACCTCCTGGATTCAAGCATTCTCCTGCCTCAGCCTCCCAAGTAGCTGGATTACAGGCATATGCCACCATGCCCGGCTGATTTTTGTATTTTTAGTAGAGATGGGGTTTCACCATGTTGGCCAGGCTGGTCTTGAGCTCCTGACCTCACGTGACCCATCTGCCTCAGCCTCTCAAAGTGCTGGGATTACAGGTGTGAGCTGCCGTGCGGCCCCTTTTTTTTTCTTTTTTTTTTTGTTTTTTTTTTTTGAGATGGAGTCTCATTCTGTCACCCAGGCTCACTGCAACCTCCGTCTCCTGGGTTCAAATGATTCTCGTGCCTCAGCCTCCTGAGTAGCTGGGATTACAGGCGCGCACAATGGTGCCTGGCTAATTTTTGTATTTATTTATTTATTGTTTGAGACAGAGTCTCGCTCTGTCTCCCAGGCAGTGGCACGATCTCGGCTCACTGCAAGCTCCGCCTCCCAGGTTCATACCATTCTCCTGCCTCAGCCTCCCGAGTAGCTGGAACCACAGGCACCTGCCACCATGCCTGGCTAATTTTTTGTGTTTTAGTAGAGACAGGGTTTCAGGATGGTCTCGATCTCCTGACCTTGTGATTTGCCTGCCTTGAGCTCCCAAAGTGCTGGGACTACAGGCGTGAGCCACCATGCCCAGCCTAATTTTTGTATTTTTAGTGGAGAGGGGCTTTCACTGTGTTGGCCAGGCTGGTCTCGAACTCCTGACCTCAGGTGATCTGCCCACCTCGGCCTCCCAAAGTGTTGGGATTACAGGTGTGAGCCACCACGCCTGGCCCTTTTTTTTCCTTTTAAAGTAACTCTCACAACAACCCTATCTTCATTTTACAGATGTGGAAATTGAGGCACAGAATAGTTAAATAAAAACAATTTAAAAATTGTGGTAAAAGATACCTAACATAAATTTATCATTTAACCATTTTACAGCATATAATTCAGTGGCCTTTTAGCACAATGGCAGTGTTGTGCAACCATCACCAGTACCTACTTCCAGAATCTTTTCATCACCCTAAAAGGAAACCCTGTGCTCACCAAGTAGTCATTCTCCATTCCTTCCTTCCCTGAGTTCTTGGCAACCACTAATTTGCTTTCTGTCTCTGTGGATTTATCTATTCTGGATAGGCAAATGTGAGTTGCCTGTAAATGGAATCATAACAACATGTGCCTTTTGTGTATGGCTTCTTCCACTTAGCGTATTTTCAAGGTGCATCCATGCCATAGCATGTATCAGCACTGCATTCCTTTTTATGGCTGAAAAATTCCATCATACGCATATACCACATTTTGTTTTCCCATTCATCCATTGATGGACATTTGTGTTGTTTCTCCCTTTTGGTGATTGTAAGTAGTGCTGCTGTCAGTATCCTTGTTTTATTTGAACACCTCTTTTCAGTTCTTTTGGGTATATGTTTAGGACTGGGATTGCTGGGTCATATGGTAATTCTGTATTTATGTTATGGAACTAGTTAAGTAAATTTCAGCTCAGTCACACTTTTTTTTTGTTTGTTTGAGACAGGGTCTCACTCTGTGCAATGGCACGATCTTGGCTCATTGCAGCCTCTGCCTCCCAGGCTCAAGCGATCCTCCCACCTCAGCCTCCTGAGTAGCTGGGATTACAGGTGAATGCCACTGCACCCAGCTAAATTTTTTGAAGTTTTTGTAGAGACAAGGTTTTGCCACATTGTTCAGGCTGGTCTTGAACTTCTGAGCTCAAGCAATCTGCTTGCCTCGGCCTCCCAAAGTGCTAGGTTTACAGGGGTGAGCTACCGCGCCCTGCCCAGTCCCATGTTTAGTACTTGGCAAAACAGGGATTTGAAACCAGGCAGTCTGGCTTTAGACCCCTTGCTCTGAACTATCACTTTATTGCTTATCACTGTTACTGTTGTTCCAGTATTAAGAGCATGGCTGTTTTAGGCTGATTGCCTTCTCTCCTGGGACCTGGCATCACCAAAGCACTGTGCTCGGAAATCCATTATCTTTCCCCAGTCTTTCCTCTCTTATTGTGAGACCTTTTGCAAATGTACCTTCCAGCCTCCCCACTGTCAGAAGGAGGCACTAGGTGCTGCCCATTGTAACTAGACAGGCTCTGGTCTGTCTGCAGTGCCCCTGCTCTCCTTTGTCCCTGTGCTCACCTCTAACATGCTCTTTGAGGCTGAAGGGAGGAATAAAAGAGCAAAAACTGCCGGGCGCGGTGGCTTACGTCTGTAATCCCAGCACTTTGGGAGGCTGAGGCGGATGGATCACAAGGTCAGGAGTTCAAGACCAGCCTGGCCAAGATGGTGAAACCCCATCTCTACTAAAAATACAAAAAAATTAACTGGGCATGGTGGCGGGCACCTGTAATCCCAGCTTCTCAGGAGGCCGAGGCAGATAATTGCATGAACCTGGGAGGTAGAGGTTGCAGTGAGCTGAGATGGCGCCACTGCACTCCAACCTGGGCTACAGAGTGAGACTGTCTCAAAAAAAAAACAAAAACAAAAACTTAATTCAAGCTTGTATTGTGAAAGCGTATTATTTATCAGAGGCCCTTTGGCTCAGTGACAGACATGCAAACCACCTGAAAATGTTAACTGTCCCTAGCTCTCTTTGTAAATTAAAGGACCTGGCAATTAATGGTCTTGTATAAGACAAAACATCTTATTGAAAATAAGTTATCAGGTCTTTTAAAAACATACACAGAAGAGCATTTTTTAAAAAGTGCTCAGGTGGCTAAAGAAGACTCTGTGCACTTGCTTCACTACCTTCCTAGTAAGTCTGCCCAAAATTGACTGAGCACACAGCAGGTCCTCTTTGGTTTGTCACTAAGGCCATCTTCTCTTTGTCGATTTAGCCCGTGGAGCACAGAGCATCCCTAATGACAGTCCTGCTCGGGGTGAGGGCACCCATTCTGAAGAGGAAGGTTTTGCCATGGATGAGGAGGACTCTGATGGAGAACTGAATACCTGGGAGCTGTCAGAAGGGACAAACTGTCCACCCAAGGAACAGCCTGGTGATATTTTTAATGAGGACTGGGACTTGGAGTTGAAAGCAGATCAAGGGAATCCATATGGTAGGTGTAGAGTCTCTGGGGGTCCTGAACCAGGCCTTCTCAGACACACCTGTCAGACTAGCCCTGAAGGCAGACAGTTTGGAACAGGGGTCCACATCTGTGAGCTTAGGCTGGTATCTGTTACAGGTCTGCAATTTCTGTGACACCTCTTTTATATTGAAAAAATACATTTGACTTCGTAATGTATCACTGTTTTAACATCAAAACTGTCACTGTCTCCAAAAATGTCTGCTATGAATTGAGCAGCTGCAGATAGAAGTGCTGTGTTATCCAGTTTGCTTCCTCTCCACTGCTAAGAACCCTTGTCTGAGAAGCACAGCTTCTCAGCTGTTCAGAATGAATGCATTTACAATTCTTCAGGAAAGGAGAACTGTGTGTGTTTTTAAACAAAATAAGTGCAAGGATCTGTCCCCTAGACATACTTTGTGGCTGTCCATTTTTACCTTCCTTCCTTCCCTCCTTCCTTCCCTTAATCTGTCTTTTAAAACTGCCTGCAGATGCTGACGACATCCAGGAGAGCATTTCTCAAGAGCTCAAACCTTGGGTGTGCTGTGCCCCACAAGGAGACATGATCTATGACCCCAGCTGGCACCATCCGCCTCCACTGATACCCCATTATTCCAAGATGGTCTTTGAAACAGGACAGTTTGACGATGCTGAAGATTGAGTGTGGAGCTTTCTGCCTTGTAGGTGGGCGGGCCTCCACGTCAAGATCTCTTTTCCTGTCTTGGAGGTGAAAAGTCGTATCTGAGAAAACGTTCTCAGTGACCCCTAGTCTGCAGTACACAGACTAGTTCTTTATTGAACAGTGTTCAATAAGGCCCCGTCGTTCTCCCCAGTCTGTTGTTGTTACTAATGGGCTCCTCCTTGGAATGTGTATGTTTGTGTCAAGAGGAGTTGTGTTCTTTGTAAATAAAGGTTAAAAAAAGAAACTAGTATGCTTCGTCTGCTTTTTTCCCATTTATTTATTTATGGAGACAGTCTCACTGTGTCAGCCAGGCTGGAGCGCAGTAGCGCAAACTTGGCTCATTGGAACCTCCACCTCCTGGGTTTAAGCGATTTTTGTGCCTCAGCCTCCCGGGTAGCTGGGACTGTAGGTGCATGCCACCACACCCGGCTAATTTTTTGTGTTTTTAGTAGAGACGGGGTTTCACCACGTTGGCCAATCTGGTCTCGAATTCCTGGCCTCAGGTGATCCACCCACCTTGGCCTCCCAAAGTGCTGGGATTACAGGTGTGAGACACCATGCCCAGCCTTCACTCCTTCATTTAAAGTCCCTGAATGACGTTTTAAAGATTCAAACGCTTGGAGGCTTAAAACTACTTTGTGAAAGAAGAAAAAATTGCCGGGCGCAGTGGCTCAAGCCTGTAATCCCAGCACTTTGGGAGGCTGAGACGGGCGGATCACGAGGTCAGGAGATCGAGACCATCCTGGCTAACATGGTGAAACCCCGTCTCTACTAAAAAATACAAAAAACTAGCCG